GTAGGAATATTCTAATAAACAATTCTGTTGTTCATAGGCCTATCCCCTAAGAAATATTACGTTTAAGCCTTTTACTATTGTGTTGATCACATATTACTCTGTGATTAAAATTGATCGTGAACACTGCTAAGGATTCTGTGATGTGGCATGGGAGGAGGTCCGTGGTGGGCGGGGTGACATCAGGAGGTATGGCACTGGGTGGCACCAAGAGTGCTGAGGGAAGGGGTAGAGGGCAAAGCCTCCTTTGGCCTGGGCTCTCAGTAAGCACTCTCCTAGCCCACTGGTCACTGTACCTCTAGCCTCCTGACCATGCTGGCTTTTCGTCCACCCTTCAGACTGGCCAACTGTCTTGGGTAAAGTCATGGAGCATCACCCTGAACCCATCCCTCTCGGACATCAGGAGGTGTGGGGGAGAAGCGAACCTTTGCTGTCTGTGGAGGCAGGCAGTAAAGCGTCTTTCAAGACCTTGCTTCCAGGGTCACCTGCACCTCTCTCCCGCCTGTGACCCCGGGGCTTCTGCTCCCCTGTGTAAAATGTGATGGTAATCGCACCTTTTGTATGGGGGGCTGTGGGGATTAAGTGAAATAATGGGTATAAGACCTCGAGGCAACACCTGGCATATAATCTTTTTTTTTCTTAATCATTTTATTGGGGCTTGTACAACTCTTATCACAATCCATCCATTGTGTTAAGCACATTTGTACATATGTTGCCCTCATTGTTCTCAAAACATTTTCTTTCTACTTGAGCCTCCTTGGTATCAGCTCCTCTTGTAACCTCTTATTAACCACCAACTGCTCCGGCTGGATGAGAAGGGTGGGGATTTCTGGCTCTAATAGAACTAGGGCGCCCCCTTGTGGTTTCTGTCTCAGAACAGCCGGCTAATCTTAAATGCCGCTCTTCAAACACCTAAGAGGTGGCCAAGCCTGGGTAACCCCATGGTTGTTTAGATAGGTAAATCTCTAATCGTAAGCCCAGTGCTGATGCTAGCAAGGAGATTCTGGGGAAGTGTCATTTGGGAGGGCACCCCTCATCAAAGAGATGCCCCCTCCAACAGGTAGCAGGGTTTCGTCAGCGTTAGAAGGGCCTTCAAGTTGATTCCAACTCATAGCGACCCTATTTAGGGTTTCCGAGATAACAAATCTATACGTGAGCTTACAGCCTCATTTTTCTTCCTCGGAGCTGTGGATGCGTTTGAAACTCCAACCTTACAGTTTGTTAGCCTAGTCCACAGAGCACCAGGGTGCCTCTTAGGAAGAGGGAATGTGTAAGATGAAAACTCTCCTCAACCTCCTAAACTCTGGTCCACTTTCAATACCTGCCCTTTTGCTCCTTTTAGTTACAGTCAACCTCACCCCTTTCCTCACCCCCTCTTCCTCATTTCAACACCCCACACCTCACTGGAGTCCCTGGGTGGGAAAAACGGCGAACTCCCTCGGTTGGCTCTTTACTGAAAGCTTGGAAGTCTAAGTTCATGCAGAGGCAGCGCAGAAGAAAGACTGGTGATGTCATTTTGAAGAATCAGCATTGAAAACCCTGTGGAGAGGACTCTCCTAGAATACACACACGGGTCACTGGGGTCACCATCAACCGATTACACTTGCATGCTGTCCCCTCTTCTCCCTCCCCAAGGACTTGATGTTGCTATGGACAACTTCAAGTCCATAGCAACCTACAGAACAGAGTAGAAATGTTCTATAGGACTGAATAAAACTGCCTTTCTTTACAGTAGAAAGGGTCATCTTTCCCCCAGTCTTTATGGGAGTAGACAGCCTCATCTTTCTCCCATGGGGCAGCCAGTGGGCTCAAGCTGCTGACCTTGTGGTTAGCAGTTCAATGATTAACCCACTACACCACCAGGGTTCCTCCCACGGTCCTCCCAACGCGCCCCAAGGCTGCCTATTCCCCAGCCTGCTCAAACTCCCCATCCTTTTCTCCTCCTGCACCTCTGGCCCTATCCAACCCAACCCCCATAGTCAGCCTCTTCCTCTCTGCTGCACCCCTTAATGGCCAAAAAATTCCAGTCCTTCCTGCTCTACCTACTTGCCTTAATGACTTTCCCCCAATTTTTAGCACTTACACTAACATACCCTGTGTTTGGTTTATAGTCTCTCACATTTGAATGGAGTATCTACAAGGGCAGGAATTTCCATGTTTCTTCACTGCTGCATCTTCAACACCAACAGGGCCCATCTATAAATGTGCTCTGCAGACACTAATGTGAGCAGGCTGAATGAAGGACCGTGTGTGAATGAAGGTGGAATTTTGGGGAAGCTGTCCAGTGGGCCAGAGCTTTCAAAAGGAAAACAGTATTGCCCAAGGTAGGAAAGGCATTTTCTGAAGAAAAGGCTGGTTTCATGAGTCTATGGCCAGTGCAGCCCCACAGGGCTCTACGCTTAAGGTTGAAGGGTCTGTGGTTGCCCATCTAGAAGTTCTTAATAATCTCATCTTGCACGTCTTGTAAGTCAATGGAGAGCATGTGGAGGCGTAAAGCCAATTTATGCACTGTCCTGGTCGATGGCTTTCAACCACACATTAATTCCCATGATCTCTGGTGCCTGGGTCCCATCCAACTTCCCCTCTTCCTGCCTTGTGACCAGTGCCACCCCAGCAGGGGCCTGGATGTGGTGGTCTAAGGGAGGGTCATGTCCCAAAGCATCACAGAATGGAGACTGGCATAGCCTGTTCCTCTGTCCCCTCCCCACCCCCACTGGGCCCTCACTCCCTTCATTCCCACTAGCAGTTGACAGCATGTCTGGTGAGCAGCCTCTGGAAGCCACACCTTGTGGGAGGTGGGAGGGGCTATGCTCAGAGATCCTTGGGAGTTGCAAAGAATTGGGGCCATGGGACCATGAGAAAGAGGGCCACCTGGGTCATGGGTTCTGTGTTAGCCCAGGTAGACTAGAGAAACAAATTCATAGACACTCATGTGTCTGAGAACTTTATATCAAAGAGCAATTGTACATTAAGAAAACATTCCAGCCCAGTCCAGATCAAGTCCATATATCTAGTATTAGCCCCTATGTCCAATACTAGTCTATAAATTCCTCTTCAGACTCATGCAACACATGCAATGGGACCAAATATAAGATCATAGGCCAATGGGTGGAAAGTCTTGTGGACTCAGTGGCAGTGGAAGCATCTCAGCACTGGCAGGGGTCTCCACGTGGTTCCTCCAGCTCCAGGGCTCTGGCTGCATCAGCATAGCTCCATGTGGCTTGTCAACAGGAATGTCTTCGCAGAGCCAGTATGTCTGACCTCCAGTGAGCTATTCATCTCTGCTGCACCTCCAAACGAGGTCATGAAGCTGTGACCTGATTGACAGGCTAGACTCCACCCCTTCACTCTTTAATATTCTCAAGTTGACACCAGATTATGCAACTACCACAGGACAGGTTCCCGGGGGTCCATGAAGGTGTTCCATTTTGTTCTGTTGTCTTACAAACCTGTGTACAACGTAACAACCCTGCCGAGGCCTGTGCCATCCTCAGGATTGTTTTGAGCCCATTGTTGCAGCCACTGTGTCAGTCCATCGCTTCATCTGATAATGATCTGTGGCTACTCATGAGGTTTCCCTATCTGATGAGGTTCCACTATTCCTAAGGCCTTCAGTGGCTAACTGGTCAGAAGCAGATTGCCTGTTCTTCTTAGTAGTCTGTTAGCTCTGTGGAAACCTGTTCACTCTGGGTGACCCTGCTGATATTTGAAATACGTGACAATAGTTTCCAGCATCACACAAGCCACCGCAGGACAAACTGACAGACAGACTTGGAGAGAGAGGCCCTCTCTTCCCTCCAGTCAGCCTTGCTTCTTTACCTTTCTGGCTACTACTGGCAACCCTCCCCACCCCCAGGAAGGAGCCACAAACACAGATTGTATCTTTTCAGTGATTTCCTATACAAGTTAAATGCTGACATTTACATTTAAAATTGACATTGCACAAGAGAAAGATGGTAAAATTCACGCTAATAATCTTAAAAGTAATCTCCCTTGACTTAGCACATTGAGTAGGAAATAACGCCCTATGCAGAGTGCAGCATCTAAACAGGAAGAAAAAGGCTTTACGTCAGTGTGAATGGCACTTTTTCCTGCGTTTTTGAACAAACACCTCCTGCACTTTCCTTTTGCCTTGGGCTCTACAAATGTCGCCTACCAGGAGTGACACTCAACACTCATGTCAAAATGGTCCAATGGGGTTCTCAATTTGAGGATGTGCCATCTAGGCATCGTGAGAGTCAAGTTTCTCGAGGGAGTTTGGATAGTGTTGTCTTTGACACGACTACACTGCCACTGTGTAATAAAGTGACTCACAGACAGGAGCCGTTTCCCCTCCTCCTAACCTGTCTCATGGCTTTAAGCTGCTGAGCAGCGTTACCCAAGAGAAGATGAAAAATGTGATGGGCACAGCAAGGACTGCCAATTCATATTTTAAATGAAACACAAAGGTTCCTGAAAGGTGGGGAGTCTTGCGAGCTGGAACTTAGGCCAGGTGTCTCTTGGTACCAGTGAGGTTTGGTGGCAGGGACTGTCCTGCACCCTGATCAAAAGTGTCTCCTGCAGTGGAGAAGTGGGGGAAGATATGACAAAATAATAATTTATAAATTATCAAGGGTTCATGGGGGTGAGGGGAGCAGGGAGGAAGGGGAAAAAATGAGGAGCTGATAATACCAAGGGCTTAAGTAGAAAGCAAATGTTTTGAGAATGATGATGGCAACATATGTGCTTGACATATTGGATGGATGGATGGATTGTGATACGAGTTGTATGAGCCCCCAACAAAATTTTTTTTTTTTTTAAAGTGTCTCCTGACACTACCCTCTCACCAGGGAGGTAAGACCGCCCCCCGCCCCCATTGGGAGCACTGCTGAGGCAACAGGATGGGGAAGAAAGCACGGGCCCCAGGTATGTACCCCCCACTCTCCTCTCACTGCCTGTGAATCTAACACATACTTCCCTCCCCACCTGACCCCCAAGAGGTCAATAAATGAAAGAGGCATAAACAGAGGAAAACGAAAAATCGCTTTATATCACACCAGCCAGCTCACATATTTAAAACAGAGTCCACTGAACACGCATGGTTCAGCAGAGTGAAAAGAAACACAAAATAAGGCGGGCATCACAGTGCCCCGCTTTCAGAAAAGGTGATGGGTTTGCATTGCTGAGCAGTGGGACATTAACCAGCCAGGGTTTCTAAGAAGCTCAAGAACCTTTCAGACCTCAGACTTAAAATCTACACCTGACAACGGTGAGCTTGGACTTTGAAAACTCCTCCGTCGGTGCCCTTGGCGGGACTTACATGCGTTCCCTCTCAAGAGGGAGAAGGCGCCATCTCTTGTCTCCAGCAGCAACCGCACATGAGATTAGAAGCCTGGCCGACCAGGAAGTGTCAATCCTTCCTACGTTCTCAGCTACTGGCGGAGGGAAAACTGAACACGGAGCGTTCCTCAATCGGTGCTGAAGCACAGCAAAGGCAACTCCAAAGCGCGTGCTTGTCATGCGCGGGAGGCACGGCTCCGGGACCAAGTGTGTGAGGCTACAGAGGCTCGGATCGCCGCCAGGCTAGCGCATGCCCAGGATCTGCTTGCTTTTGAGGTGGTAGTTTTTCTCAATGTCAGACAGGGCCTGTGCGCGCAGCTGAGCAGCATGCAGCCTTTTCTTCAGGTCTCTGCACTTGGATTTTGAGGCCAACAGACTCTCTGAATTCTCCCTCCTCATGATGTTCTCTTTACTTTCTCCACTGAAATGAACTTTCTTCTTCATCACCGAGGATGTATGATCAAAGTCTTTAGATTGAAAAAGAAAAGGGGGTTGGGTTACTAGGGCAGGAGTTCTCAATTCCTTACGCACATACTCATCCAAAATCACGGATTGACCATCCAGGGCTCCTGGCTTTATTTCCTCTGGGGAAGAAGCTGAGGGGGTGGGGGTGAGGCTGGCAGAAATCATTCCCTCAGAAAGGAAAATACCAACCCCCTCAACTGCCCTTGAATCGATTCAAAGTCTGAGCCACCCTCTAAAGCAGGCATCCTCAAACCTGCCGCCCGCCAAGGATATTTATCCGGCCCGCTGGGTGTTTTTGCTCCGTTTGTTTTTTCACTTCAAAGTAAGATATGTGCGGTGTGCATTGGAATCTGTTCATAGTTATTTTTTTTAAACTATTGTCGGGCCCTCCAATGGGTCTGAGGGACAGTGAACTGGTCCCCTGTTTAAAAAGTTTGAGGACCCCTGCTCTACAGGGTTTCTAAGACCATATTCTTTATGGGCTGACCCTCCAGTTAACTGTGCAAAGCCTAATCCACAGCATCACCAAGCTTCTTTAAAAAACAAAACAAAACTAACGTCCCAAAAGTCAGGGGCTATGTTTTGTTTTACCAAAAAAAACTTTACACAATAATTTGTGCCCTAAAGAAATCAACAGGCAGCATGTTCAATACTTGGCCTTCCCACGATCTTAAGGAGCGCAGAGCAAACACAGGTAGAGTACAGCCCAGCCTGGACAGCCGCAGAGTGTGACTGGAGGAGGGGGCGGCCTGCTCCTCAGGAAGCTGGTCCCCACACTGTCCATGAAGGTGGAGGCGAGGCAGAATTACACCGCTAGAATGTTTGCTGAAAACGTGAGCCCCAAAATGTAGTGGTGTGGTAATATAGCCAAGGAACAAAATCTAGAATGCATACTATTGTTCTTATTAAAAAAAAAAAAAATTCTAGCAGATCGTCTGCACGTCACTTAATTGGGTAAATCAAAGCAAAGGAGACATTGGAATGACTTTTGGCTTTGGTCAGTGACTGGGTGGTTCTCGTACCTGGATTACTTGCCAGAGCCAGGAGCTGCTGCTCCTTTAGCAGGTTGTAATTCTTCACCAGACTCTCCGCTCTCGCCAGCTTATCCTCTGCCAGTCTCTCCCGGATACAAATCTCCCGTTCCTTCTCTGGCACAAAGAAGGCACGCAGGCAAATGAACAAATGGCTCTCAGGAGAAACTCATTTACATTTGGTCATCTTCTCTCATCGCCTCGGCCTGGGAATTGCCAGTCGTGTTTGGCGGGAGATTGCTCACTCTCAGGGTATTGCTGACCATTGCATTTAATGTTCACATATGTTGCTCACACTTCCCTGTAAAGGACTGGCCTAAGCACCTGGCCAGAGGCAGCTTCCACCAAGGGTCATGTGCGGGAAACAGAAAATACAGCGCTCGCTGCTCTCCACTAAGGCACCCCACCCCACAGCTCTTTTTCAGGGCCTCGCCCGGCCCTACAGGACAAAAGCCCTTCTTCGGGGAGAAAGAAAGCCCCGCAACAGAATAGACAACCACAGCTCAGTTGGGAGCCAGTTCTTTAAGTCTGGACCAGACTGTTATGTCTTCATAACAGAAGTCACAGAATGCACATGTTTCAGGTGCTATGAATTCGACTAGCTCAGAAGTGCCCCTCAAAAGTCAGTTTTGACTGACATTTTTTAAGACATCTACCCCTATGTTTTGGGTGAACTAGAAACCATGGTAGCAATTACTGTTTGAACTTACATAATTCACCCAACCACAGCCTCTTCTAATCAATGACCAGAGCTACACGGTACCCAGCTATCACTACTGTTCTGACCAGGGACACAATGGAAATCCCGGATAGAATGGGAGAGAGATCTAGAACAAACTTCCAAAGAAAGGCCAGACCTCTGGACGGATCGAGATTAGACCAACCCCAAGGCTACTGCCCTAAAATACCTTTAAAACATGAAACTGAAACTATTTTTGCAGGTAAACTGTGGCAGTTACATAATCTGTTGTCAACTTGAGGCTTAAGAGTGAAGGGGTAGAGTCTAGCCTGTCAATCAGGTCCCAGTTGATGACCTCATTTGGAGGTGCTAAGGAGATACATAGCTCACTGGAGGCAAGACACACAGACACTGCCTGTGAGACATTCCTGCTGACATGACTCATGGAGCTACTCTAGAGCCCTGGAGCTGAAGGAGCCACGTGGAGACCCCTTTCAGGGCTGAGATGCTGCAACTGGATCCACAAGATTTTCCACCACTGGCCTGTGATCTTCCTGCATTCGGCACCATTGCATTTGTTATGTGAGTCTGAAGTCTTTATAGATTGGTATCGGACAGAAGGGCTAATATCGAACTTATGGACTTGATCTGGACTGGGCTGGGATGTTTTCTCAATATACAATTGAATATAAAGCTCTTTCTTATACACATGAGTGTCTATGAATTTGTTTCTCTAGTCTACCCCGACTAACAAATCAACTTTCAGTCAACTAATAGATTGGCTTATAAGAGCCATGAGTAATATGCTCCCGTCAACATCAACTACATACTAAACCAAATCGTCAACATTCATCCCAAAGCAAAGCTGAGAAGGGAAGCCAGATCAATGGAAACAGGACAAACAGGATGGAAACGAGAATACTGACACACTGTGAACACTGTAACCAGTGTCATGGCGACTTATTGAATGGGGACCTACTTTGCAAAGTAAAATTATACTTGAAACAACGAAATATTAAATCAATATATAAAATGTATTCAAAGTCTGCATTGGACTTAAAGCCGCAGAAATAAAATCAAGCGAGACAAAGTCTAGTCTCCTGGGCCTAAGACAGTGGTTCTGAACCTTCCTAATGCCACAACCCTTTAATATAGTTCCTCATGTTGTGCTGACCACCAAGCATAAAATTATTTCTTTGCTATTTCACAATTGTAATTTTGCTACTGTTATGAATCGTAATATAAATATCTGATATGCAGGATGTATTTTCATTGTTACAAATTAAACATCATTAAAGCATAGTGATTAATCACAAAAACAATATGTAATTATATATTGTGAAATATTAATTTATAATTACAAATAAATGAAATTTTGTCTTGAAGCATGGGTAACGGTCTTCACACACGATACTCATATGTGGGCCTATCTGTATGTGGGCAGACACGCCTGGAGACAGATAGAGGAGTGGTGTCTTGGTTCCTAAGACCATCGGGAATATGTGTTTTTTGATGGTCTTAGGCGACTGACCCCTGTCAAAGGGTCATCTGACCCCCAAAGGGGTCTCGGCCCACAGGTTGAGAACTGCTGGTGTAAGAAGAGAAGCATCCCTCCATTGTTACTTTGAATGATCCTAAGACAAAATTGCACCTACTCGGCGAGCAACCACCCGAGCATCATTTATAAGCCTAGACTGTCCTGAGCCTATTTCCTCCACTGGATCCGCTGGCCACATCTAACCTCACTCACAGGACCATAGCGGCTCTTATTATAGAGGCAGCAAATTCCAAGACCTTCCTTTCTCATGGAAAAAAATTAGAGTATTTTAGATGGAGGAAGAAAGAAGCAACTCCACAGCACAGTACAATGGCTATAAGAGGCATCAAAATAAAAAAGCTAGTGCCTAACTAGCGTCATCTCAGAGAAAGAAATGGTGGTGTTTCACATGTTTACAAGCCTGGCCTGGAAGAACATTCAGAACATACAGAAGACGCTGTGGGCCAACACCCTCCCTCGGGGCTGCTCGGGGTCCGCCCCGCTCAACACTTACGCTCCAGTCGCTCTTCTCGGGCTTGCAGGGCCCGCTCTCGCTCCTGTAACTGCACCTCCTTCAGCTTCAGCTCGCTCATGGCCGGGCTGGAGTCCGGCACTTTCTGGGACTCTCCCAACCGCCGCCCTCTTCTCTCGGGATTTTTCCTCTGCTCTTCGGTAACCAAGTCTGCTATCAAAGGGTTCTCAAGAATTTCTTCCACGGAAGGTCGATGGTAATCCTGGGGGTGCGGAAATGCAGTGTTATTGCCAGATTTCAGAACAGAATGCTCGCCCAAGAAAGCAGTCATATTCAAAGGTGCATATGAAGGCAAGAGAGGGGATGCCTTTACGAATGGGAAAAAGACATTTGCTGGTGGCTTTAGCTCAGGGTTCGGGTCCACACGATCAACTAGATCCAACCTTTGGACGTTTCTGAGGAGGCTGTCTCTGAAGCACCGGCGGGTATCTTATGCTGGTGCTCAGCAGAGCACTGTCTTAGGGAAAGAATCCCTGCGTGTGCCCGCAGCTAACGAACACACTTGGCTTGCTGAAAGAAAGGCTGGAAGTTCCAGTCTAGCCGTACGCATCTTAGAAGAAAGGCCTGGCGAGCTACTTCCAATAAACCAGCCACTGGAAGCCCAGAAGCTGGTGCGGGCTTTTTGGTCAATGAGGTGGGTGGGTTTTACATTTCAGATCATCAGTTCTGTATTCAACATTTTAACCTACTTATCAACACCCTCAGTGTTTACCCCACCCATGGTTACTGCTCTTAACGTCTCTCCCCTGCAGTCAGCAAGAAACTTTCTCACTGACCTTCGATCCTGTTACTTCACCTCCATCCTTCCTTAGGATCCTAGCATTTCCCCCTTTTCATGAGCCTGGTCCCTCAAAACATCTCCGCACGCATCCCCTGGTCAGATCTTTCCCACATAACCAATCTCTTTATTCAAGCCCTTCCCCTCCACACCTTTTACACTGCCGTGTTCTGGTGTCTCAACACTCAGAGCTGGAGGCCAGGAAGTTTTATTTCTGGCCCTTTCTCTTACCCACTTGCCACTCTGGGGTAGGCAAGGCCGGGGAGCTGAGGATTTGGATCCGCTCTACAATCTTTTCTTGCTACCAACCATCTGTTAGCTGGCAGAGCAGGGGAGGAGAAGTAAAGAGAAGCACAGAAGGTAAGCCAGCAAGGATGTACAATCTGCCAGCTTTGCCGAGGGCCCACTTGTGGTGGCACAGTGGCTACAGTGCTCAGGTTAGACCTGTCAGCCGCTCTGTGGGAGGAAAATAAGGAGCTTGCCTCCCTAGAGATTACCTTGTGACCCCATGTTTGATTTTTCTTATTTTTATAGTACTTTTGTTGATTTTGTTGTCTTTTGCCATATCTTACGATCTCCCTTTTGACCCATATTAAATTTGTTCTAGTTGCTAATATTTTCTTTCTTTTCAACTTTGTTATTTAAATACAACGATGACAGCCGTAGCGATCCTATGAGGCAGTTCTGCTCTGTCCCAGAGCGTCGCTGAGCCGGAACCAACTCGATGGCAGTGGTTTGACTTGGTTTTGACTTGAGTTAACAGGTTCTATTTAACTACGGAGCCATATTGAATTATTCTACAGAAGAGAAGATACACTCCAAACTGTAACTGAAACAGATAATAGGTAGTTTAAGTCTTTACCTTTAAATTCAACATCCTCGTAATAATGTCATTCAATTCATCAGAGAATCGATAGGGAATTCGCCTGAATTTGCCTTCTCTGATCTTCCCAGCCAGTTCTTTCTGGTTGAAAGCTGTAAACGGAGGCCTTAAAACAATTTTAGAAGAGAAAGACAATTTAAAAAATGAAAATGTGTAACAGAAACCAAATCAAAAGTACGATGTAAGCACTCATGTGTATCTGTTTCCACTTCTGGGATTTCTCCCTTGTAGCTAGGTTTCTAAGCGCTGTTGTCACTGTTTCTAAGCACTGTCAGCATTGAGGTCATGAAATTTCTGTTGTCATTGGGAATTATGCTGTGCACTGTAGGAGGGTTAACGCCTCTGTGGCCTGATCCCCAAGGTGCCAGTAGCACTCCCTAGCCGTGACATCCAAAACTGTCCCCCAAAACCTACAGTCAACAAGTCCCTTCCGACTGCTAGTGACCCCACAGAGCAGCGAACAACACACACCTCACTAAGGAGCAGCTGTTCTGGCCTTACAGCAGGGAGAGCTCATTACATGTCTGCCAAATACAGCGGGTTAATTTTTCAGTTGATCATTTTGTGTGGCCCTCAAATGATATTATAAATGTCCAAATAGCCCTTATGCAGGAAAAAGTGGCACGAACCGCCGACCTTGCAGTTAGCAGCCTACTATTTACCCTGTACACAGACATTGTTAAATTTTCTAACACCTCAGTTGAGAGCTACTGGTGTATAGAATCATTATCAGGGAAGAAAGGAGAGGAATCCCTGCTCTTTCCTAAGGCCTCCCCTGGGTCTTTGAATCATCTCCTCCCTGTCCTGGCAGCAGCTCTGAGCTACGCACCTGGCCCATGTGTTCCTTCCTGCAGGAAGCATCAGCCTGACAGCGATGTGTCCACCCAGTCAAGTAGCTTGAAGAAGTCGAGACCCAGCCTCAGCGTTATTTGAGGGGGCTTCAAAGTTCAAGGAGAAATGGAATTCAAAGAGGATACAATTTTTCCACAAGCTTTTTTAGCCCCTTTGTAGGTTTAACTTGTAAATAAATGACTTACTTCTTGTTTAAGCCTGTCCACCCACCTGAATTGTAACCCCAGGTCTGCCTGCTCTTTCAGACTTGAACAGGCTTGCGTTAGCACGAGTGCGCAGAGAGCGGAAGCCAGTGAAAGGAACAAACTGTTTCACCAAGAAAAGGAATTTCTCAACATACTTACATTAATGCACACAATTCATACAGCAAACAACCCAGGGACCAGATATCAGACTTCTCATTGTAGGACATACGATTCATTTGCTCCTATGGGGTCGAAAGAGAATAAAAAAGGATTAGGAGTATATTTTGATTTTAAATGGACAAAATTAAGGAGACAAAGTAGAATCTCAAGATTTGATAATATTCACTCAACAATAGATACATATATGCATGCTGTGTGTGTGCCTCCACCCACCCACAGATATTTAAGTTATTTTATATATAAAGTATATATCATACAAGTATCACTTATGTAATACATTCAATATCTATAATTATATGGTATATAGCTGTAAAAAATTTTCAAATACAAAAGGCTGACTCAGCTTGCATCAAAATCTTCAACTTTATCATGGAAGAAAAGGCAAAGATCTTGGCCTAACAAACTGTCACATACAAGGCATTCACAGACCTTTATTAAGAATTCAGCGACATGTTATCAGGAGACTGGTCCCTAAAAAGGGATCATGTGCTAACAATGAGTACAAGAAGAAACTACTCGGAAACAGATTGTGATGCTGACTGCAAAAATCTCCTTAATAGGACTGAACAATTAAGTTGTATGATACATGAAGTACATGATAATAAAACTTTTTTTTTTAAAGACATCATGCTTGGTAAAGTAGTGGGGCAGGGGGAAAACAGGCAGGCCTTCAACATGATGGATTTTCACAGTGGCTACAGCAATGGTCTCAAATATAAGAACAGATTGTGATGCAGTGTAGGACCCGGAGGTGTGTCCTACTGGTGTACATCGGGTCCCTGAGCCAGAACTGACTGCTCAACAACAAAAACAACAACATAGGCTACACACAGGTAAACACACGTGAGCATGAAAAATGTCTACCTTCAAAACACTCATAGCGCAGAAACTCCATTTTAATAGCCAGAAAGTACACCAATATACCCAAAACATCTAGTCTGTATACAAATGGTTCCAGAAATGGCTACTTGGATCTCCACCCATATTTCCTCTTACTCCGTCATGGAAACCCTATCATCAAGTAAGCCTCACTGTTTTAATTGTTTGCCTTCCTTCCATTTACTTCCACTGTCCTTCCTGAACAACAGTCTTAACTGTTGTCTCTGAACAGAGGCACACAGGCAGGCACCACATGTTTTAAGGTGCAACAGGTGAGTCAACCGTTTCCAACAGTCAAAGCCTTACCTGATCTAATTACAAGGGCAGAAGGAAAAGGGAACAAAAGAATTGTGGAGGTGTCAAGTTTTTCAAAAACCACTGGCAGATAAGCGTCCTGTGTTACCACGCCCACTCCCCACCCCCAGCTTTCTATTTGGAATTTGAGCCAATGAGAAAATGAAATTGCTCTAGCCTAATCTTAGTCAAAAACATAATCATTCATTTACACAATCCTATTCTGAAGGCAGATCTACTAACATAACTAATCCTGGAATGCCCTAGAAAAGATTGCACGTGACTCAAAAATTGGGCATAAGTATTCCCTCATCTTTATCTGCTCAGATTTCCTATGTGAACACATTGGTGATAAAGCTCTTGATTCAAGTATCTTAAAAGCAACAGGCAATACCCTTAGAAAGTCACAAACTATTTAGAACCTTTTACCCCGTAATTTAATTTTGAACGTTACACTCCATGGGAATAATCAAAAGGAAACAAATGATTCCTATAAAAACATGCATAGCTGTGCTCCTTAGAATGGTGAGAATTTTTGGAAACAATATGCTTCAAACAATGGGTGGGAAGAAAGCCAGCGGGTTTCAGTTCCACAAATGTTTGACAATCCCTTGTACATCCCCATCATGGAGGTCATGAACAAGGGAGTGACTGCAGGTGCATTTAAAGGAAAACGCAAGAAGACAGGACAAAAGTTAACACTGAAACCCAGGCTATCTAGAGTGAATCTCCATGCCTGCATCATCTACAGAGAATTAGTTAAAACGTCGACTCTCAAATGGAAAGGTTTTAAACAGCTGAGTCCAGGGACCATCACAGAGGTTGCGACTCTGGATGTGCATTCGGGGCGCAGGGATCTGCATTTGAAACAAGTGACTCCAAGTGAGTCTCCCAATGGCCTCCGCTGCTCCAGCAATCTATGCATCCTTGTCACCTCAGCTCAAGGTGGCACGCCATAGACACTGGACCCAGTGTGCTGACAGAAAGACATTTCGGGGTCTGGTGGGCCATTTGGTAAACTATCAACTTCACAGAAAATATTCACTCTCCCAGTTGAACATACTAAACACATGGGCACAAAGTCCCTGCCGTTGAATACTTAGCATTAAGATGTCAAAGGAATACCCAAATTCGGCAATACTTACTGGAGACATGTAATACGGGGTTCCAACAAATGTTTTTGCAAAACTCGTATCATGGTTCAATATTCTAGCCAGCCCGAAATCTCCGAGTTTGACGTTTTGCTTGCCGTCCAGGAAAACGTTGGCTGGCTTCAGGTCCCGATGCAGCACGGTGTGGCCACCATCACTTCGTCTGTGACACTCCTTCAGGGCCAGGGTCAACTGAGTCATCACTCGAAGAACAAACTCTTCCTCTAAGTATTGCCTGAAACCAAGGCAGTTAACACAATTCACGACTTCCGAATAAAATTGTGACAAGGATGTGATGATGGGAATTGTATACAAGTAGGGAGAGAAATGGTTATTTTGCTAAATATGGGCTATAAACAGATTCACCAGGGATTTTCTAAAATACAGTGGACCCATCAAACAATTAAGTATACTACTTCATATGGCTAAAAAAAGTACTCTATTCCAAACCCGAATAATTTAAATACATCTCCATAAAACATAAAAAAGAAAATTAGTACTCTCCCAGATCCGAAAACACAATACTTAACCAAAATGAAACTAGGCACATTTCCAGCTTGCATGGAAAAGATTACGCTACCTTTCCTTGGTTCCCTTTGTAATCACACTAGCCAGGTCCCCTCCTTCACAATATTCCATTACAATATACAGTGTTGTGTTGGTCCGGTCAATAATTCGGTCATAGTAGCGGACAATGTTTGGATGTTTCAGTTCACGAAGCAAGTTCACTTCAGAAACAAGCATTTGTTTCTCAACCTCCGTCATGGAGCCATAGTCAAGTTCTTTCCAAACTAATACCTGAAAAAAGAATCCCAAGGTCAAAATGAACTCATTATATTCAAAACAAAGAATGAAGGTTCCAAAATAGCCCCCTATTAAATAAGTCCTGCAGCCAAGGTCATTTTCATTTACTTGAGTTCCACAAATATAAGCAGCCCTGAGTTTGAAGGCATAATTGGCCTATCATTTTTAAGCAGAAATTGATATTATGAGAGATCTGCCCGCCTCCCCATCCTAAGTTACTGAGTGGGAAGTTGCAAAACAGTTATTTAATCAAAGCTGGGGCACAGAAGGGCAAAGTCTTAGTTAATACCAACCAAGTTTTCCCAGGTAGGTGAGACCTTAGTAAAGGCCCATCCACCTGCTCCAGGCCATTTACTCATCACTGTTTCTTTCTGTGAAGTCACCTCCATACAATAAACCCCACATTCCTGATATGTGCATTTTCAGTTCTAACTGTAAAACAGATAAAATCCAGATTCTTGTGGTTCTGCCCTTTCAGATATCTGAAGAACATAAGGATATATATATATATATAAAGGAAATCAGGGGAAAGGGGTATAAGATATTTTATATATAGTCAAAAGAAAAGGAAGTGCCCCACCTGATGGGACTGAGCAACAGAACTGTATGGGAAGAGAAGGGATATCTGGAATGTGTAAGATGTCAATTAAAAATATTATTAAAAATTTTAAAGGCAAAGAAGAAAAGATAAAAGTGGATGTCAGAAGAGGCTGTGAAAGGATCTTAAACAAAGAGTAGTTTCAGTAAATAGAATGATGAAGGAAAACAAGTGGTTCAAAACCAGTGGCAAGGAGGGTGTAGGAGGTCTGGCAGGCTGCATCAAGGACAATGTAACCAAGAGGAATTCCTGAAACCCAAATGAAGGCTGAACTTGGTAGTGGGACAAAAGGAAAGTACAAAGAAATAGAGGAAAGGACTAGGAGGCAAAGAGCATCTATAGAGATCTAAATACAAGCATATAAAGATGTAAATATATTTATATACGATGAGGGGGAAATAGATCTATGAACATATATTTATAGGTTTAGTATTAAGGAAACAGATGGACAGTGGGCCTCTACTCAAGTACTCCCTCCACACAAGAACACTTTGTACTAACAATTCGGCAGCCTGAGATGCTCACCTACCTGGCACGATCACAGAAGACAACGGGTATATAAGCAAATGTGGCGAAGAAAGCTGATGGTGCCTGCCTATCAAAAGATAAAGAGTCTGGGGTCCTATAGGCCTGAAGATAAACAAGCAGCCATCTAACTCAGAATCAACAAAGCCCATCACGGGGCGTTGAAGGGATCAGCCATCAAAGACTAAAACACATAGCATTGTGAATGAGGGGAGTGCAGAGTGGGGGCCCAGGGCCTATCTGTGGGCAATTGGACATCCCTTGCAGAAGGGTCACATGGAGGAAATGAGCCAGTCAGGGTGCAGTGTAGCAATGATGAAACATACAATTTCCCTCTAGTTCCTAAATGCTTCCTCCCCACCACTATCATGATCCAAATTCTACCTTATAAATCCAGCTAGACCAGAGGATATACACTGGTACAGATAGGAACTGGCAACACAGGGAATCTAGGACAGGTGATCCTGGGAGGGTGGAAGGAGGGTGAGGGAGAAAGGGGGAACAAATTACAAGGATCTACATATAAACTCCTCCCTGGGGGACAGACACTGGAGAAGGGGGTGAAGGGAGACGTCAGACAGTGTAAGATATGACAAAATAATAATAATTTATAAATTATCAAGGGTTCATGAAGGAGTAGGGAACGGGACTAAGGGCTCAAGTAGAAAACAAATGTTTTGAAGATGAGGGAAACAAATGTACAAAACTGCTTGACACAATGAATGCATGTGTGGATTGTGTTAAGAGTTGTACAAGCCCCCAATAAAATGATTTAATTATTTTTTTAAATGACGAAGGAAACGCGCTAGCAGACAGTGAACTTCAAAGAACAGCTCAAGAAAACAAAGCATAATAAAATGCGCACGACCTGGGGTTCCAAAGCCAAACCGGCTCAGCCTATCTCAACACGCACGCCCTTGCTCAAGATGAAAGAACTGATTGGGGTGTGGAGGGGTGGGGGTGGGGGGTTGGGTTCGAGTCTCGGGTTGAGAAACCGAAGGTAAAGGGAGTCCTGGTGATCTCATGGGTTAAGCGTTGGGGCTACCAGCCCGCTCGAACCCACCATCACTCGAAAGGGAAAGAGGAGGCTGCTCCTGTCAAAACTGGCAGCCCCCGAAATCCGCAGCGGGCACGTCTACGCAGTCCCTGGGCTCCCTCACTACTGAATCGATGGCAGTGAGTTTGATTGCTGTTCTCGGGAGCAAACGATAACGTAACCTCTCCCCACACACCCCCCGCTTTCCGCCACGCAGGACCCTTCCGACGCAGACCGGGGGAGCGGGCTGACCGCTCCGGGCCCCGCGCCCTCAGACCGCAGGCCGCTCACTGCCTCTCGGGGCGCAGGGCGGCCGAGGCGGCGGCGGGGAGCGAGACAGAGGAAGGGGCTGGTGGTTACCTTCCCGTCGCTCCTCCTCCGGATCTTCTGGCAGCGGCCATAGGAGCCCGTGCCAATGGTGTGCAGCACCTCGTAGTCCTCGGCCCGGGACGGCATGACCGGGCCCCTGCAGGCCGCCGGGACGCTGCCCCGACCTTGGACGCGGCGGAAGACCAAGAGACGTTCGCAGCCGCGCTCACTGGCTACCTGGCCTCGGCCCCGTTTAACCGTCGCGGGCCATCGCTCGTAGCCTATTGGCTGGCGGTAGAGTCGCTCCGGCGCTCTGATTGGCTAAGAGGAACACAACACCATCCTGGGCAGCTTGGGAAATGTGCGTTGCTAGGCAACCGCGTCGGCGTCGGTATCCACGTGAGATTTCAACTTCCCAAGAAAGGGAGAGGGGGCGGAGCTAAAGCAAAGGAAACCCAACCCGCTGCACAGAGTCCGTTTAGACTGGCTGTAGGGCAAAGAAGAACGTCCTGTGGGTTTCCGATACTAACTGAACCGGAGTAGAAAACCTCATCTTTCTTCCTCAGGGCTCCTTCAGCCAAAGGAAAGAAAGCGGCAGCTGGCAGGCCTTTGCCACTCGATAATCACGTAAGACTTCAGAGCGCGGCCGTCAGACCGACGGCAGTCCTGTCCATCGGACTGGACGACTGCATTAATTGGATCGAAGCCGACTCTCCGGGGGGAAGCGCTGGCGGGTTCGAACCTTGACCTCTGGTTAGCAGCGAAGCGAGCACTTTTAATCACTGCGCCACTAGGGTTCCTTGAACCTTTCAGAGAGAGACTTTGGAGGCACGTGCCCTGAGAATGGAGACGAGAATATGAAATCCTTGATGTTTTGGAGTTTCCAGGAGAGCACTCAGCTTGACGCAGGGCTTGGGTGCCTGCGTGGGGCCAGCAGTTAGTGGTGCACAGTTCACTGCTAACCCAAAGCAGCAAGAAAGGCCTGACCACCCCCTTCGGAAAGAATCACTCGCGGAAAACACTACGGAACACAGTTCTGCTGTGTCACGCAAGGCTTCGCCGAGATGAAGACTTAAGTCAAAAGCACCAGACTCTGCCATCGAGTCCATTGTAAGGCACAGCGATTCTATAGGACGGGATAGAATTGCCCTGTTGATTTCTGGGATTGTTAACTTTGCCAGAGTAGAAAGTCTCATCTTCCTCCTGGGGAGCGGTTGGTGAGGATGGCCCATCGACTTGTAGTGGACAGTCCAGCACATAAACCACTGCTCTTCCAGCCACTAACTGGTTCGCTTAAGGTGGAGATGGTCAGGTTTCACATTTCAAGACTTGTTGAAAGAAAAAAAAAAATCTGCCAAGTCCATTGGAGTTAAAGGGGTTGTTAGCAAAGAAGAGGCAGCTCTTCGGGAACAGGGTGCACCCTTGCTAAGGGATGAGGGGGTACATGACCTCAGCTTGTATACAGTTCAGCCCATTGAGGGGGTTCCCAAAAGGGAAAATGTAAATGGTTGCTTGTCTTCATTTAACTGGTCGCAGGCAGCTTGGATTGGTTTATGAAGTGTGAGTGTCAGCATTCTAGAGGCTAGTTATAGCTTATCTAGTTACCTAAGCTTTTCCCAGAATTGTCTACATTGTGTGTTGAAAGTTTGTGTGGTGGGCTAAGAGCTCAGTTTAAATGAGGGGGTGGGACAAGGATTTCTTTAAAAGACTCCTTCCTACTAAAAAATAAATAAAGTTTAAATCAAATTAAACTTAAATTTAATAATGATTGCATTAAAATTCTCTGTGGTGCTGGACACAGTTACATGACGTTCCTTCCCTTTTTTCTCATTTGGTGGTTGTGTGGACAGAGTCTTCTGACCACCCACATAAATCAGCATGTCCAGCTTACTCAGGAAAAGTCCATCAGCACCCTCTACACCTGGGAAAGGGCACATGGAGCTTTCATCCAGGACTGCACCGGGAGTTCATCGTTTGGCAGCCATAAATAGGGCTGTTTCCTTTCATATTTTCCCAAAGTGAAAGTGAAAAGAGCCTGGGTTTCTATGGATCAGAATTATAAACCTTTTTAGATCAAAATACTGGATAAGAAATATATTTTATGCACTGAATATAACAAATTCATTACAATTTCTAGCCAGGAAAATGTTTAAATTAACATTCAAGGGCACTGCATTACCTATAGGACAGGGTAGAACTGCCCATTTGAGTTTCTGAGACTGTAACTCTTCACAGAGTGTTCTCCCCGGCTTTCTCCTAAGGAGTGGCTAGTCGTTTCAAACTGCCCACGTTGCGGATTTCAGCCCAACTCCTAACCACTGTGCCACCAGGGTCCCCCATATAGACTTTCTGAGACTATAAATCTTTACAGGAGCAGACAATCTCTTCTTTCTTCCACAACAACCCATATGGAAAGACGGCTCTTTGTTATAGTAAGTAATGAGGCCATGCAAGGTGTAGGGGGTGTCTTAAGCCAATCACTTCTGAGATAAGAAGGGAAAGATAAGGCACACAAGAAAGCCGGCTGAAGGGGAGGGCTTTATCTGAAGACTACAAAGGTCAGCCAACAGGCGCAGGAAGGAGGAACTCTGACCGTGGGCAGCTAGAGAAACTGAGAAGACCAAGAGAGAGGTGTCACCCAGATTCAGATTTCTACCCTCCTAAACTTTGGGAAAATACATTTCTATCCATTAAAGCCACTCTTAGTATATTGTTACAGCAACACTAAGAAAGGCAGACCATACACACAGAGCTCCTCGGCTGGCCTGCCCAAATCCAGCCCTGCACCCAGTGATGGGATTCAAATAATTGAATAACCAGTCCCTGCCCTCATGACCATAGTATACTGTTAATACTTAACAGAGAACAATAAAAGAGGTGCACAAAATTTAATTATGTTATATGAGAGTTTAAAATATAACAAAAATATTAAATAATACTTGACAAAAATAATAAAACTGTTAGAACGTTTCCACATTGCTTCTGGATTGGAGTCCTCACTTGCAGTATTCTTTGTTTTTATCTGAGCATCATTGGCTATGTGATTTACACTTAACTATCTTTTCACTGTACAAGAAGGATTCCATGCCTTAGAGGTAGGCCAATTAGATCACAGCCGTTGTGTTAGAAAAATTAGAAACAGGCGTCTTCTCTTCTTTGAACTTATTATGTTCATCCTGAAAAACATCTTTAGACTTCTGCTGAACTTACAGCCATTGTTCTGACAATATTTTTAATTCTTTGACCACTTTGAGGAATTGCATAATTCATATCTCACGGAATTGGGGCCATAACACAAAGCTGAAATGAATGACAGCATGTCCCCCTCTGCTTATTTGACATTTTTCTCTCTCTACATCCTGTTTGCTGAAGTGGCAAGGGAACAAACGTAGTACTTCCTCAAAAGTATAACGAGTTTTACTAAATGAAACTGTGCAACTATACTTCCCTTGAATTTTCTATACTTATGAACAGAATCAACATTACTATGGACACTTAGATTACACTGTTGCACAGAGGAAAGTTAAAAAAGAGTAAGCAATGTACAGTTGTGATGTCCACATTGGTCTGCCAGTGCACGCTATTAACTTGGCAACTTGAAAACTTGCTCATAGTGATGAAATATTTAGCTGCTCCTGCTTCACAAAAGTATTTTGCTGAGTTGTCAATGTATTTTTCAGTTTTAATATTTTACCTATTCTCACTTCTCTGACCAAACAATTATATTTATCTTTATTTTGAGTTTGATAGTGTTGACACAAATTATATTCTTTGAACACATATACTATATTCTGGCATATCAAACACACAGCTCTTTTTTTTTTTTTTAATCATTTTATTAGGGGCTCATACAACTCTTATCACAATCCATACACACATCAACTGTGTAAAGCGCATTTGTACATTCATTGCCCTCA